AATATATATATATATATATATATATATATATATATATATAACTAATATCTAAATATATGATTTAGTGTGTTTAAAAAATGCAAAACGTAAATTAGTAATTTGTTTTTATCTTTTTTTTTTTTTAATTGATCTATTTGGAATGGCATTTAATACTAAAAATCCAAAGAATTATATTATTGTGCCCAAATCAAAAAATATACTTGGTGGGCAAATATTCGTGATGGGCAAGTATTCGTGATGGGCAAGTAATAACCAAATAAAAACCTGTCCTCACTTTTTTTCACTCACTATATATAAACTCACTCTACCCCTACAAATCCCCCCTCTGCAACAAACAAACACAGAAAATAGAAAATTAATTAAAATATGCAGATATTCGTGAAAACTCTCTCCGGCAAAACCATAACCGTCGACGCTGGCTTTTCCGACTCCGTCCACTATGTCAAGAATGAGATCCACCTCAAGGAAGGTATATATTTTATTACCCACCTTAATTTCAAATCGCTATTTATACTTCCTTTTAAAAAGTTCATCTGATTTATGTCGTAATTTGTTGTGTGTTTTTTCTGTTGCTCAGGGATTCCACCAAACCAACAACGTTTGATTTTCGCCGGAAAGCAACTCGAAGATGGACTCACTCTCTCTCACTACAACATCGTCAAAGGTTTTATCGACTTTCGATTTTCTTATTTTTCCCACAGAACGTTTCATAATTTGTTCATATCAAGTTCTAAAGCACAATACGAGTTTTTTTTTTTATTTTATTTTTAAAAAATTAATTAGTGAAAAAATGCAATATTGTAAGTCTACTTTGCATCTGGTTTTGAGGCTTAGGGGTGGCATTTTTGAGCCGTCTCTCAAGGCATTGGCTCAGGAGTACAAACAGAAGAAATTGATCTGTCGCAAGTAAGTAGTTTCCTCTTCTTCACTGAGTGTCAAAAGTTTATCAGTTTTTTTTTCCAATAAAAAAAAAAAATCGGTTTATGATTGTTAAATACTCGGTGTTTGTTTTGATTTTTGAACTTTATGTTTGAATTTATTTATTTTTTATTTTTTTTTTTTATTTTTTTTTCACAGATGCTATGCTCGTCTGCATCCTCGTGCTACCAACTGCAGGAAGAAAAAATGTGGCCATAGCACCGATGTAATGTATTTAGTCATATAAATTTTCTTTTTCCCTCACATAATCAATTAATTAAATTTCACAAGTAATTTTTGATATAGATATGTAATTTAAATTAATCTGTAAATTAAACTTTATACTTTTGTTTTTTTATTTATTTGTACAGTTGAGGCCGAAGTCGAAGAAGGGCAAGTACCTGTGAGTCATATGCCTTTTGGTATTCTTAAGGACTTTATCCTTTCACCGCTTCTGTTTTTTTTTTTT